TTTGTTAGTCACCGGGCGTAATAAACTTTTGGTTTTGGTAGTGCTTAGAGTGGAGCTAGAGTAGGTAGCTGCATTATGGCTAAAACGTAGACATACCACGGGAACGGTAAATGTGTAGAAGCATGAAGGGCGTGAATTTTTATTTTCTGCCTTAAATATATATATATCATTTTTGAACTAGGACTCCGTTCCTGCTTTCTCTAACCGCCTAAAGATTTCTGAAATTCACCTGCAGATGCGGCCTGGAGAGCCGTCCGCCCTCCCATAGCAGCAGCAGCGTTAACATCCGCTTTATCACAGTCTTCTAAGCTTAATACTTCTTTTGGTCGAGGTGCTCTGTGCAAAGACTGCGGCGATGTCAGCGGCTTCGTTCTTGGCCTCCGTCTTTGACCAGCCCCGCATTGCATGGTGTAGCTGCAAGACCAATTTCAGGATCACGTACTTTGCTAGCAAAAGGGCTGAATTCTCCTCACGCTGCATGTGACATATTTCTTACCACTATAAGCCATAATATACTGAATTTCCCCCGCGCTAAGTGTTTTATATATATAGACCTCATTAGTGCTCCCCTCTAATACCTTGAGACATTCGCCGCGGTAGTTCCCTATCGCATTTTGAGTTGACCTAGTAGTCAACAAATTGCATGATACGCCGTAGAGGCTTTGTCTTGTTTATATAGACAATTGTGTCCTGCTTTGCGCGCACTGAACGGGCGAATCGTTGGGCTAACTTCTCCGGGCCTTTAAATCGAAGGCTTGTACCTAGAATGATGAGCATGTCGGCTAGCTTTTCATCTTATGTGATGACGTCCTCGATCTCCACGCCTTGAGGGTGTTTATCATCGGAACATATGATAGCCGGATAGAGTCGGCCGATTCTAGTTTTGCGTTTGCCGAGATTGGTTCTGTTTTTGCAGTTCTGCTGACATGTCGGGCAGCTGAGCTCTGTGCTAGGATCTAGAGATAGCTTGGCGGTGTCTAGCTCGTGTCCTTTCCAGTCAACTGTCGAGCAGCAAAGTTCGCATCTTAAAGTTCTGATGGCGCTATGTAAGAGAATGTATATCGGGGGAGCATCCGGCTTAGTAGTCATATTAGTACTCAGTCCTACAACAGCCTCAAGACCGTCAACATTCTGGCTGTAGAGACGTCTTGATTTTTCCGCCTTCCACAGTTCTCGCAAATACTCGTGTGTTTCCGTCGGGCGGGCCTTTAGCGCGGCGTCACGCAGATAGACGGCGTGTTCCATGAACTTTCTTCGGCCATCCTGCGTTCCGAGGGAAGAACGTAGAAACAGATTTCCATTTACATAACGTCCGTTCTTCGAATGATAGCCCTGGTCAAGTTAGCCTTGTAGAATCAGTGAGGGAATGCACAACAACCTTGATCCCAGCTTTCGTGCTGATCCCCGCGCCGGCGAAGGCAATAATACGTTTTACCTTCGCTATTTTTGCAGTTAAATGCTTCATGTGATCGTGCTAAAGATTCACTCTGCTCTCTTTTTCCGCGTCGAGATGAGACTTCAGCATTTTCGGCAGGTCACTGGCCGCATGGGCCACCTCGCGCCGGTTGTCACGAAGTGGCGAGATTTTTTCAAGATGAAAAGGGAAGAAAAGCACTCGCTCTGCAGGAGGCGCAGAGGTTCTTATATATTCAGGCTAGCCACGTGATTCCGCTGACATAGCTGTGCTTTTCAGTGCCGCGCTGGCAGGCTTCCATCTTTGTAGAGCACGCTCGAGCACCTAGCAAGCCGTACACGAAACGAGTATCCTCTTCGAGCACTGGAGCGAGTAAACGTCACAGTATAACCTGTTTCAACAGTCACGCCTCGTTCCCAAATGTCTAGCCAAGCTATAGGTGCTCATGTTCGTTGTGCTAGGTAGGCGCGCGAAGGGCAAATATCGGCGTTCCATATCGCGAGTCCCGGTGTAGCTATGCTAGACAACATGTTGCTAGATATCTCTGTTGCCTCATTTCCTGTGCCTCGTATTAGTCACACCAGCTCGTGACTGTCGTTGGTCACAGCGGCCCTCTGCGTATAATACCATTGAAGCTGGAATCTGCCTGGCCGCCTCCTTCCAGCTGCATCCAGGCGCAGCATTGACAGCGCACCATGTAGTGGATGTCACGAATCGAAATGGCGTGACGGCATGGTTATGAAAACGCGGCCTTGACAAAACTCATGGCAAGTAAAAACGCAGAGACACTGCCGTAGACTAGCTGTGCAAAACTACCATAAAATAAGACTTGAAGGTAGAGTCGCTTTGGCCAGCCCTGTGCGTGAAAACCGTCATGAACTTCTAAAAGTTCGAGAGCAGCACACAGCCCAACAGCAACAATAACTACTGCCAGGCCAAGGTGTGTCCAAGTGTAGATCGTCAAAGGCCTTCCACGCACAAGCATAGTCACGACTCCAACTGTCGCATGCAATACGGCAGTTATGCCAGCGGCGAGTGAATCTCGAAACAAATGCCAAAAGCAACTCGTTTGACCGTCGTCACAGCTTGTTTTCGGAGTGTGTACTAAGGCCTTTCTCGATAGATAAGTAGAAGTGTATGCGTTGAGTGAGTTAAGGCCGACGAGCGTAAGATCAAGTATAATCAAAAAGGGCAGGGAAACTATATGATACGTGGAGACTCCGTGGAGCTTGGTGTGTCTAGCCTGAGAAGGTTGCTAAGTTGTCTCAATGGACCGGACCATCGCAGACCGAACTTCTATCCTGACCTCGGCAGGGCGTTGGGCAAGGTGTTCTGCTCCGATCTGCTGCGCTTGCTGAAAGTAAGCTTGCCCTGCTAAGTACAGTATGTAGCGGTACGTGATGGAAAGTGCTGATTGCTTTCAATGAGCAGGAGAAGAAAGGAAAAGCCAATTTTCGCCGTACTGGCTTATAGTCGGCGTCATTTTATGGGGGCAAGAAAATATGAGGTGCTATTGGACCAGCTTATAGCTCCTGTGGCTGTATAGTCGGCAACTCTCTGTCCTTTTAGAATATGTTCCTCTTAGTGTTAAACTACGGTGATTTGCTTCGGTGCAATGCACGTTAGCTGCGCTATTATAATGCCAGATAGCATTGCCTAGCGGCGAGTAGATTTTTCTCTCGCGGTGCGGGAAATCAAGACATAGGCCAGTAAAATGACAACAATTATGGCCATAAAAATCCTAAGACAAATCCACTTTCTTCTCCGCGTTTTTCGAGCTGTGTTAACGGCGGCACAAATTCTTCGGTTCCCTTATCAATGTTCTGAACGACCTTTTTACTGTCTTTCTCGATCTGTGTGACGGGATCTTCCTGCTGAACAACAAGTGTATCTATGTCCTGGAAGAGCTGGGACAGCTCCACTATCTGCTGCTCAATCTTACCGAAGGCGTTGTGGCGGTCCTAGACGGCGAGAGAGCGGCGCGGGCGCGTCCTTAGCGGTCGCTCTGCATAAGGACCTGGCTAAAGACTTGGTTGTTGCTCGTATGCTCGTATCCTCGACGGCAGCGCGAACTTCCTGCTCCGAGGCGTCGGGACGGTCAATGCAGTATTGACGGGCCATCTGGTCCTGGGTGCGCTCGCGGAATCCCGACTCGACTTGCTGGTACTTCTGAATGGCCTGCCTCAGGCGCCAGTCGACACGATCTACCTGGGGTTTGTATTTAGGGTCGTTGGCCTCCGGGTCGGACTTAATGGTACAGACGCGCTTGATGAGCTCGCGGTACAGGACTAATGTCTCGGAAGAGAGTGCGTCAAGCTGCTGGTTGGTGGCGCTGGATGAGAAGTTGTCGGCATCGTTGAGGGCTCTGTGCCGGAGTATGCGCAGCTGCTGGAGACTAGGCTCAATCCCGTCAATTTCAGCATTGACGACTCCGCACTGGTCGAGGAGAGCATTGCTGGTATTGCTCCTCGGTGTAGAATCTGGTGTGAGTGTGGTCATTCTTACGCTGGCGATGGAGAAAGGTTTATGTGCAGTGCTAAGCCATTACTGGATAGTTTGTTCGGACCGCGAGGCGAGGTGTACGACGAACATACGCGGTCAAATTTGGCTGATGCAAACCATACCAAAATTTCTGTCAAATATGTGGGCAAAATTATCGATGGAGTTTTAGTAGTGCAGTAACCTTGTACATTTGTTCTCTGAAGGTATTATGCTATAAAACACTCTGCATAGCATCAGAATTCATCGTCCTTGTGCGGCTTGGTAGTTTCCGTCTCGAAACTTTTCCCTCATTGCTTTCGATAATTGAGCTGCAGCTTCTTCTCGGTTTTTTTCTTTGCGAGAATTCCATTCTTCTATCAAACGCTTCGAGTGTGAAGCATCAGCTTCACTGATAAGAGACGGCTCCCAAATAACCCAGAAATACTTCTCCCCGTTTATCAGCTCTTCCCCTATTACTTCTTGCACAGGCCAGTCCTCCATCGATGAATAACCCGCATCATTGTCAAGGTCGCTGTTCTTCGTCATATCGCCGTTGCGATTGGAGGTGCTTCGACATGAGGGAACCAGGAAGGGGAATTTGGCGATCTTGTACTTGGTTTCGCAGTTGGTCAATATCGTTCTTTTGTGGATCTTCAATTTTAACTGTTACCTCCGCTATAGATGCGAAGCATGAAATGGCCACTTGCACGGAATGGACGAAAGAGGGGGAGAGATGTAACGGTCTTGCGAACCGAGTGATCCGGACAATTTCGGCTGTCGTCGAGCAAGCTACGTCGGCGATTGCATGAGTGAGCAAGTCGATTGATCGCGGCAATCGCAGAAAGATGACCAAGTATGATTCCATGTCGGACTTGCTTTTACGGCCCGGCCTGAGCTAACGTAAATACTCCAATTTGGACGGTGGAAATCTTTAGGCATCAAAAGTATATTTATTAATTTTCATGCATGATGCAAGAGACAGATGCGCCGGTAGCGTTTTGCAGCAGCGATTCGCGGAGCTCGCTAAGTGCTAGAATCACAAAGTCTAGTGTCTGTATGCATACAGTGCAGTCGCGTAGGCTTCCAAGACTATCATAGCTCAGCTGGCTCCCTTCAGTCCCACACTCGGAGGTAGTATCGGCCTTTACATTGAGGATATGTGATTCCACTGAAAAGTTTATTGACACACCTATTATTACAAGCATGTCGCTACGTACAATATGGGGCTTTTTACGGACTGATGTTGAGAAACAGAGCTATCTCATACGGGGACTTTATTATACAGCCGATCTCTGGCAAGATTGCGAGTGGAGAAAAAGTTCGGTTTGGCTGAGCAAGCCTGAATCACTAAAATGTGTCGTTGCGAAAAGAGCGTCAGACTTGTCCACAATCACAGTGAACTCTACCACGACGACTTGCCAGAGCAATAGTGAGGAGAAGGGGCTGGGCGAGGATGAGTAGTCAATTCGTAGTGATCCTCCTTCCCATCGGCATCAGAATTCGTCCATCCCGATAGTTTTACATACGAAGAGGGATAATCTACGCAGAAACTGGTCGAAGGAGCAAGATACGGCTGGTATCCCAAGTCCTGGCTAATATATGGATCAAGCCAGGCTTTTTTATGCGACCGAACTCTTACGTATGCTATAGAGAAGCTGACCACGGCATTATCAAATGATGGTAACGGGAAAAACTCTGCGTAAAGCATATATCGCAGCGCAGGCAGTGGCGGCTGCTATCGTCCTGGTTTCGACGATTGCAATGTTAGTTCATGGTAGAAGCCGCAAGGCAGGCATATTCCATACTACGGTACGTGCACGTGTTTAACCTTGGGTTCATGCTGACCCAAATTTTCTGATTGTTTCTAGGACCCGGGTGGAGCTTCGCTTGGCTCGGCGTACAAATGCTTCTGGGGCTCAAAAAGCTGCACTCCGTACTACAGCTTTGTGTCGGTCGCGGCGGTCGCTTCATTTTGCCTGGTCATTTCAAGTGCTATGGACGCGGTAGTAGTTCTGAGACCATGGAACATGCCAGACTATGTTCCTCCATTAGTTTCCTTCTCCAGAACTGCTGGTTTTGGTCTTGTCACGGCTGAGTTGGCCTTGGTTCTGGAAGCATACACAGTAGGCAGCGGGCTGGTATCAGAAAATGATGGTGCTATACATCATGGCCTCGCTGTTCGATGTGCCATCGTCAATGCAGTCTGTGTCGCCGTACTCTATACTTTAGAACTAGGCTATCAGCTTGTGTGTCAATACGTGTGGGATTTCTGAACGAATGGTCACAAGTGCGAAGTGGATGATTACCAGGGTAAAAGCTCGTCTCAGTGACCTATTCTTTGGGGATTAGAGCCAGCACAAACGACCTACATAGCGGTATATCATTATGAGGACGATGTAGCATTTGCGAGCACATTGACGCTGGAGTGAATTAATGACACAGGCGTACGAAGATATATCTCAATGTATTTCAAACTAGATTCAACGACTTTTCTTTTTTGCAATAACAAAATCTTGCTCTCTCTGAAAGATGTTTGACCGCTCATATATGCCTGATATGAGTAAATTGTGCATCAGCCACGGCGTCTTGGGCGCCGGCTCTGGCCGAGAGCATTGCTGTTGCTCCAGCGCTAAGTCTTTGGCTGTTAGAGGCGAGGTATGACAACGTCATACTCTGAAACTTATCAGCCGTGGTTTCGCGGGCTTCACTACTAGATTGTAAGTCCTCGGATTTGCATAGACTCAGATTCTCAGACCAGGTGTTAGCAGCATCCGCCATTTTGCCCTGTGATATGAGCGACAGGCCAAGCATCTCTGCGGCAGCAAGGGATGCAACATGATTATGGCCCACCGCCTGTCTCATACCCGCCAACGTTTCACGAAACGCGGCCTCGGCCAGGTCTGGTCTTCCCTTCGCATGGTGCATGTTTCCCATGTTGTAGAGAACAAGCAAAGCCAATGGAGAACCCTGACCTCCAGACGCCCTAAACCCGTTCAAGGCAGCTGTAAACTCCTCTTCTGCTTTGCTGAATTGTCCAGCCATAAAATCAATCGTGCCTAGGCAATTCAGCACGAAGAACCTCCACTCGCTCTCAAGCGTCTCGCATGCACCCAAAAGCAGCTCGCAAGCCGCTTGTCCTTCCAGAAACTTGGCTTGATCTCTGAACAATATGGCGAGCTCGATATTTTTCTGAAAAGTCCGGGCACTGTTCTTCCCGTATAGGCTCTCACAACCGCTGATACAGGAAGAGAGAGCAGGTTCCGCATTCGCGAAGTTTTTTGTGGATATATGTATCATGGCAAGCTGTTCGAAAGCGTGGATAGTGTCTGCATGGGCCAGACCAAGTGTCTGCTGCAGGCCCGAAGATCCCCATTGCAACATCTGCGCTGCATCTTGAAGCTTCCCCTGCGCACACAGTGTATTTCCCAGGCTTAGAACAATAGCGATGACTTTGGGGTGATAGTAATCTTTGCACATGCTCAGAGATCCTTTCAAGGCGGCGTGCTGCACATCTTCCGCTTCTTTCCAGCGACCTTGTTGCGTATACACAGTGCCAAGTTTGTCTATGATGCGGAGCATAATCGAATTGTGGTGGTCTCTGATGTTGATGCCGAGAATTGCTTCCGACAAGATTTTCTCGGCCTCCCAGAGGGCACCGCTTGTCCAGAGCGCATTGCCGATTTCGTAGATCAACACAAGGGTCGTTTCATGACATCGACCCAGTCTGAGTATGTAATTCCGTAACACAGGATCATAAACGCTTTTGGCATGGCAGAAATTGCCGCTCCACGTAATGATTCGGATGTACTCCCGTAGAAGAGCCGCAATCGGTTCCCAGTCGCTGGAGGTTGAGCCAAAATCCCGAAGAGCCCTGCGATACACCTCTTCGGCTTGTTTGATCTTGTTTTGCCCATGTAGCAGGCGACCCAGAAGTAGAGCCAAGGTTCCTGGTGAATGCCGTCCTCGGAGACGAAGTGAAGAGCTAAGCACGGAATTCATCTTTGTTGCTGTGAAAATTTGAGAGAAAGTAGCTCTGTGCTGAAACAACCTTGGAAGAACATGACATCTCTGTCGAGCTAGATCATGATTACCCGCCCATGTGCCCAGCCGCAATCTCAGCCGCCATTTTCTACCGCCCGAGACTGAGTGGGTGTGGCGATAGTCACGGAGCATGTTTTGGCGCTGGACGCTAAGGTTTCCAGCCTGATTGCTCATAGCCACTATTGGCTAAGATGCCCGATTATGGTGCTTTGGATAGACTTTTGACAGATTTTCTTCAACAACTATACATCGTGAGCCTTTGCGTTTCACCACGTGATCTACATGTTGCTATATGATGCTACTGGCCCGCCAGCGACAGACGTGATGTAGCTCCAACCTCCGGATCCATCATGAGGATTGCCGTCATCGGCGGCGGTCCATCCGGCCTGGTAACCCTGAAATATTTATGCGAGGCGCAAAAATCACTTGGCTGCGAACCAGTCGAGGTTGTGCTATTCGAGTATCAGGAAGGGGTAGGGGGAACATTTCTAGGCCGAGCCTATGAGGATGCAGAGGTCAGTTGCGCCGAGGAGAGCGAAGCAATGGTACTGACAGAGACAGCTTGTCTCATCAAAGCAACTGACTTGCTTCCGACTTCCGTCATCAGAGCTCAAAGGATTTTCTTGCCGCGTCTGAATATGTGGAGTATCTGCACGACTACTGTTCCCATTTCAAGCTGTGGCCGCACATCAAGCTGAGTACCAGAGTCATTTCAGTTTCTCGAGGTACTCATGGCAATCACGTCATCAAATACCAGGCCAACGACGGACGCTTGCAGCTATGGGATTGCGATGCCGTCGCTGTTTGTTCCGGCTTACACGTGGAGCCAAACGTTCCGCATATCCGCGGGATTAGCACCGTTAAGAAGGTCATGCATTCGTCGCAGTTCAAGTCCCGAGCACAGTTCAATGGTTGCAAAGTGGTAATGGTGGTAGGCTGCGGCGAAACCGGTGCGGACGTGGCATATCTGGCCGCTACACATGCAGAAGTGGATCGAGTCGTTCTTTGTCACAAGGATGGTTTCCATTTTGCGCCAAAGGTTCGTCTCATACTCTTTCATAACGGGCCGTACTTTGCAACCCACTTTAACGCAATTTGCCGCGAAGCGCAACGCTGGTCCCGTGCTGTTGCCGATATTAGGTCGCGCGCCGAACCCTGCGAAGCCTGGCATTCCGATTGATGTGAGCAGGGCCAATCTTTTTGATACGGCTTATGTCCATAGCATACTGCGTCAAAAAGACTATTTGCTGTGGGAATACTACCGAGTCTACATTACGGTCTTGCTGTGGCTGAGCTCGGGCACAACGGCGGGGATGGACCAATGGGCTGGTGAAATCAGCCCGGCGCGCCACCATCCCTCCAAGAGTAACGCCCTACCAACATGAAATAGGATAAACAAATTTCTAACGTTTCTAGTTTTTTTTAATAAGTCGATGAAGGTTTGTCCGTACATCAGTTTCCCTTATAGGCCGCAGGTCCCCGGGCGCCGCTTGTGGCTCTATGCCCTTCGCTCGGCTCTGGTTCAGATCCCCGTGGAAGACACGAATGGGCGATGCGTGGACTTGGCTCCGTGGCCGCTCCGAGTTCAGTCGTCGGGTTTCGTTGAATTCATCGATAACGGCAGGCCTGAATATCAAAGAATGAAAAACCGCCGGGTGCGTCCCGACATGATTGTTCTTTGCACGGGCTGCAAGCAGAGTTTTCCTTTTCTTGACCAACGGAGCGACCCTCCGTACGCGAAACCAACAACAAGGGACGTTCGGCAGATATGGAAGCGCAGTGATCCATCTGTCGGTTTTATTGGATTCGTACGTCCGTCGCTGGGGGCTATACCACCGCTCTCGGAGATGCAGGCTCAATTGTGGATTACTCACCTCCTAGCCGGGCATCATCTTCCTCGACCTTTGCATCCAGAAGACGAGTGGCACTATAGGCTCCGCATCGTGCCGGGAGCTCGTGTGCCGGACGGTGTAGACCACGAGAGCTATGTGTATCAGTTGGCCCTTGACATGAATTCTGCGCCAGGTTTTACGGATGTTGCTCGCTTTTGGTCTCTCAAATTACTGCTTGTGTGGGCACTCGGCGCAAATTTTAACACAAAGTTTCGGCTGTGTGGTCCGTGGCGATGGGGCGGAGCGCCTGCTCTGCTCGCATCAAGTGAGTTCTGGGAGACCATCACCAGACGGCCCATCATATTTGGTGAGTTCTGGCGCGCACGACAAAGTCTCAGTACTCACGATACGTAGGCCACTTCGCAGTCTCTTTCTTGCCGATGCTAGCATTTGGACCAATCAACTTTGTGTGTTTGTTGGTTGGGACGTTATTTCCCACTTACGCAAAGTCAATGGAACAGTGTTCCTACAATACCCATGCGCCCGGAGCAGCTGGTGCGGCGAAAGCCAGCAACGGCGGCGGTTGAACATTGCTGTCTTTTGCCTAACCATTAGCGTCGCGGTAATTTCTATTGAGTCAGCGTCAAATAGAGGCGTCTGGCAGTTCATGCTCGCGTTTGTGAACAGCTTGGAGGAATGGAAATGAGAACAAACTCGGGACGGATTGCGCCACGTGCGGTAGGTGTCCTCGTCGCATTAAGTATTCTTTTTGCAAGCCACTTTCCGTGATTTAGCAGCAAAATTGCTCGATACTATTATCAAAAGAAAATATGCCGTGATCGTACGCTCAATCTCTGAAAAAAATTAAATTGTCCCTTTATGCAATCGTGAACCTAAATTTCGTCCCCGTCCGAATTTGCCATTTTAACGACAATCAGACCACCACTGGCTATGAGATACGCAACATATGGGGCCTGGCACTGCTCGGTGCCTACATAGCCGTGACCCCCGCACTGTCTCCGCTGAGGAATGGCGAAGCTGATGACGGGGGAAGAGCTTCTTATAGAAGAAGATCTACTGATAGATGAGGAAGTGCTGGTAGAAGAGGAGCTGCTGGTAGAAATAACAGAAGAGGTTATAGAAGAAGAGAGGCTACTGGTAGAGGAAGAGCTATCTGCAGGGTAGAAATAGTAGCAGTGGCTGGATTGGAGATTTGATTGAGCTGCAACTCGCCATTGCCGCCGACACCGTTGACAATCTCCCCGAGAAAACCATGATTGGCGTACAGTTGAGCTACATCCCACATCATCACACCGCCGAATGAGGGGTACTACTAACTTCATTGTAAAGCAGCTTGAAGTTTTGAACCGCTAGTGTAAGATCCTTTCCCCGCTGCATCTTCGCTTGCAGGAATGCCAACGAGAACCCTTACCCGCGGGTTCTTGCTGCTCTGGGCCCATTTGTCCCAAACGTCAAAGTTGAAAGCTGATTGACTTTGCATGCCTTCTTGAAAATGACTGATGCCGCAAAAGTTGTTATAGAATTGAACCTGTATGATGTCAAAGGGAACTACATCCAGGGTAGTGCCGATGTTTGCATCGGGATAGCCACACTGTGGTGCGGCGGAAAGGTAAAATTTATCGGTGGCAGAATCCATGAGATGGCGGAGCCTGTCAGCAAAAGCAGAAAGATGGTTGGCCGGTGTCAAAGTCAAGGTCAAATCCGTTAACGACAGATGTGCCGAAAGGCCGATCAACTTTGCTGGAAGTGACGGGTCCAAACATGTCCCATATGAGCTGCGCAGACTTCTCAGCGTCTGCGGCATCCACCCAATTTGGTGAGGGGGAATTACCGCCGCCCATCGAGATCAAGACAGTCCTTCCTTTTGCCTGGCAGGTTTTGGTGTCTTCTTGAAGTTCTTTGCATAAGAGGACACCCGTGTTGAGCGGTGATTTGATACATTTGCTAGTGGCACTCGCAAAGTCGACAGCAGCAGGGCATACATTATGTTTTCGTCTGCGAACCTATGTGGCAAGCATTTCATTGGTTCATTGTCAGTCAAATCCGGGATTCACTTGCCCACGGCCAGACTGTCTATGGCAGATGCTGACATAACATCCTTCCAGGTCATAGTGTCTGTGATCTCCACCGCTGCCTTGTTGTGCATTCAGATCGCAGCGCTGGCGACTCGCGAGAGGTGAGAATGACAACTTACATCGTACTTGCCGCTACAGCATTCATACCTCTACTGCATGGAACCCGGCTCTACGGTCTTGACCACATGATACATTACTCCGGGATGAAGTGGTATTTACTCGAGCTTATTGTGTACGGCATCGGAGCTGGTCTATACACGGTACGCTGTATCACTTCTGTGAAGAAAATAAATAAGCTGACTCACACTCGCAATTTCGAATTCCTGAACGCTTCGCTCCGGGTTCATTCGATATCTGGCTCAGCTCCCATCAGATCTTTCACGTCTCCATCCTGTTCGCAATGTATGAACGTGCTTGGTCTGAAGCAAGCCTTCATGGCGTCCCACACGTCTGGTATTTGCCACATCAAAGCCACTCACGGGTAATGAAGTGAAAAACCTGGAAATTATCGTAGAAATAGCGCAAATCGCACCAGCTGCGCCATTAGATGTCAGGCCCAAATGAGCAATTTCCAATCTGATCTTCTACACGTCACGGTTCTCGGCCAGAAAAGTCGTCTATCGACTCTATTGCTCGTGTGCGCCACAATCGGCTGATAACAGAGTCTACAGGCTCATTGCTTTGGGCTTAAGGTCCGATGGCGTGGTCATTTTGTGCCGCGTGATATGCCTCGGCGGGTGTATATAATCATTATCATTCTGGCGGGAAAGCACGTAGATCGACACCATTCCATTTACCACCTCTCGAGATGTCGTCCCACGCAGCGCTATCATCCGACATTAACATCAATTCCGTGGCAAGCAAAAGCGACATCATATTGCAGCCTGGCTATATGGAACCTGGCAACTCGCCCAGTAGTGCTATGAAGCCCGTTGGCATTTCCGTGCCGCCCGGAAACCAAATTAGCGAGCCTGAAAAATCGTGCCAGCCGGCAAGCAGCTGCTCAAGCAATCCATTTGACGATATATTCGCCGTTTTCGAAGATTAGAACGAAGGGTCAAAGACAAAGATCAACTTGATACTCTTGCTCCGAAACGTTGTTTTGGTTCTTTTTATTTCAATCTTGAAATTTTCTACTGTTTTTTGGGTTGCCGTCACTCCTTTTTATATTACATAGCATTTCAAATAGGCAAAGAATAGGATTCGCGACCGCAATACTTTTGAATTCTGTTGTGCGTCAAGCTCTACTCTCCATCCTGAAAGCAAGTGTTGTACTATCATTATTGTTAAGAGTTGGCACACGGAGTGACGCCGTTGAGAGTCTTAGAAGTAGGCAGATCTCTTCCGTCCAACCGAGGATAAATTGGACCTAGTCATGCAAAATAGTCCACCGATGCTATTTATCTTCTACAATGACAGATTTAAGGCCACGACGGGTTTGATGTTAAATACGTTACAACCTATTGGGGCAAATCCCCCGCGACCCTCGTTTCCTTGGTCCTCATTATCGTTGCCTTTGACCAGTTAGTCTAGGATCCGAGTTGTCGAGCATCAAGCACAGCTTACAATATTCCCATATCTCATACAGCTTAACGCATGGATAAAGTGCCTTGTTATATGTCTTTATTGAGTCGGTTGAGTTGCTATCATCTGGTTTGCCAAATCTCACAGGCATGGTTCCGCTCGCAGTGCTTTCAGAGGAGCAGCCGGTAGGGCTGACCTCAAGCAGCATCGGTACATCGCTATGTGTCATTGTGGAGGATATGCTTGTTGGTGCGTCAATGTTAGGATGCAAACCGCAAAAGCTGAAGATGATATTCATAACCGAAACAGATTCCGTCAGCGGCTGTCCTGAAGTATAACAAGACGTAACAGGCGTTGGGGTCACCGAAGTTTGGGATTGTGCGGACGTCTGAGGCTGGGTATTGGTCGGCATGAGATTTTCCGACGGAAAATACGCTGACTTCGCTGCTTGTGTTCCTGCCAGAGACGTCGTGCAAGTTGTGACGGTGTGTCGGGATGGAGGGGTTTTTACAAGGTATTCTCCGACATATTGAAACCCTGACGGTGCCAATTTTTCAGATATCACAGTATACGTGCTAAATGCGAGTATGGAATCAATGTCTGTCACACTGAGCGTGTTTGCGCTTTTGAACTCGCTAGCAGCATGAGTGCCAAGCATCAACACTTCGTCTCCGCATTCGGGCACCCATAGAACCGTATGCTGCGCTTTTGCGAGAGCCACGATAGAGCCTGCCAGCAATGGAAGGTTCATTTCTATGTTGACTACGTCAATTTCATGGAGCTGAAATAAGAGCAGAAGCAATTTATATCAAGGATAAAGTGTCGATGTCTACCTACAGACGAATACCGATAAGCTTATCACACGTCTAATGACTACGCAGACGATAGAGCTCGCTGGCTAAATAGCATGTCCTACCAACCGTTATGGGTGTCGCGGGTTTCTAACATAATATCTTTAGTGGGGTGTATTTTGGCTGCTGCCTAGAGAGCCAGAAATAGCGGTTCTGAATCACCCCGCCAGGTAACTAAAATTGACTAAAAGCACTCGCGACACCCATAACGGCTTTTACC